GCCATATTTAGCGGACAAGAGAAAAATATACCAACTTGTGGATCCTCGCTTGGAACTACATTATTCTCTAAAAGGGGTGCAGAAAATTTCCCAGTTAGCTTATAATTGCCTCAGTAGAGACCCCAAATGCCGTCCTAACATGGATGAAGTTGTGAAAGCTCTGACTCCACTGCAGGATCTTAACGACCTAGCAATCTTGTCTTATCACTCTCGTTTATCTCAACAAGGGAGAAGAAAAAAGAAATCAGATGGAAATCCAATGGTCACCTACACACAATCCAAGAGCATGAGGGCTTCTCCTTTGAATACCGGCAAGCAGCATCGCGCTGCGAAGTGATCCTTTTCTACAATGCTGGCTCAATCATTGATTAAAACAAAGGTCGAACGCCTCCTTAGGTGGTGTTGTTATTGTTGTGTGGAAATGGACATTTCAAGCTTGCATCATTTTTGGTTGTTTTAAATCTGTCAGGGCCAGAGGGAAGAGTAATTATATGTTCATTTTCTTCAGGCTCTTACACTAAAGAGCAAACCATCAGTATGGAAAGAAATTTGCCATTTGCTAATTATGTAATTGAGAAATCTTTTGCAGCAACCTGAATCAATTGCATTTAAGCAGTGGAGAACTGGAGATAACATGTTTCTACTTTAATGATCACATTTTAATGCTTTCTTGAAGTCTATAAAACCAAATCATACTTCCAGTATGCACATGCTTGTTCCCCTCAGTGTGCTACATTATTCTGCACATATATTGTCATAAATTGCAGCATGTATTCATTGTACACTTTCCAATAATAACTAAGCAGGAAATTAAGGCCACTAAGCAATATATTTTCAAGTTGTTTGATATCCCTTCATTGTTTGGACACATGGTCATTGCATTGCAGGCTATTAGTATTAGACCCTATATCAATATCAATAGCATCTATCAGGGTAATGTTAAAGAAAATGTACAGGAATCAGCATATATTCTTGTTAGGAACTTAGAGAGAATATATGTCTTTATGTAGAGCATAATTATATGTGGACTGCATTCTGTTAATATCTTGGTCACAAATTGAGTTGGAACAAAGAACCTGACTTTACTTAAACTTATTCTTTCTTTATTTTTTCCCGGTAAGAAAGGTAGCTACAAAGTTTAATTTCCTGTTTACATCAAGCAGCAATTACTTATAGAATCTTGGTTACCATCAGTTATGGAAACTTATGCCACTTTTTTTTATCTTTTTGTATAAACCATGCTTTAATCTTTTGTTATCTCACACCATTATATTCCTTCTTTACAAGTTCCCTAGCATGAGAGAATAGGCTTCTTTTTTATATGTATTGTTTTGACATGTAGATAAAATGTATCTCAATGAAGTTGAGATCTCTGGTTTTCTGGAATGCAAGTCATCTATGATCAAATAAGATAATTTGTGTTTTTTAAGGTCAATCCTAAGGAATTTACCATCTGTATTCGTAATTTGGTATACCACACATTACAAAATATATCACATAGGAAGGGATTTATGTGTGACTTCATGTTTCTACTCCAGTTCCTACAACTACTATAGATTCGTTGAATATCATGATTCTCTTGGCATTAGTGCAAATGGATCAAAACTGTGGAGAACACATTAGTTTGTTGTTGTGTGGTATATCTGAATTATGAGGAATGACCTCCTCTTTTCAGGTAAGGCAGTAGGTTATGTGCATATTATGGACTTATCCAAGTTAGATTTTGGACTTAGTTTTTGGCAAAAGTAGCACTAACTCCTCTAGTTTTTGCAAATTGATATAATGATCCAAAAACTTGTATTACTTTATTTTCTAAAAAAATCACTTGTTGATCTTTCTCGTGTATTGAGTCAACACCCCTTGTGCTGATTTTAATATATTTTGCTTATAAAAAAAGATTCTTCAAATAGCCAATCAGCCATTCAAACTGTGTTAAAGTATTGTTAATTTAATTAGAAGAGTGAAGATAACAAGAATAAGATTTTTTATCAGTATTTATATTCATGGAATGTTAACGTTCGTCTTAAAGACATTGCTTCTTTAAGGAAGAAACAAATGTAAATTTTGTTGATGTTTAGAAATATTAAAAAACATTTGTCTTAGTTTTCCAATTTAAATTTCTTTTTCTATATTCCTTAAATAATGCTTTTTATAGAACATTTGTTAACAACCCTTATACTTCACTTAATGTCAACACTAAAGTGAACTTAGTGAGGTGTTTGTTTTTGGAGAAGAAATTGAGTGAGACATCTCTATGTTATGTATTGTTGTATTTTATAGTTAGATTATATAGGTTGCAACTTACAATGTTTATTGTGATCAAGTATGTGATCTTAATTTCATGTGTCATTCTATATCAAAACATTATGATTATAAAATTAATTGATAAGATAATCAATGCTTACCCAATCTACTTCGTAATTTAAGTAGTTGAAGTTAATATACTATGTGCACATTTACTCCTACTACTATTTATGACTATTTTATTAATTATGTAATAAATTTTTTCACACTTCTATTTTGCTACCAAACACTATTGTTAGGTCAACAATCCTAACTCTATCTGAACATGTAAGAAGTGTTATTCCACTTGTAAAACCAATTCATTAATTCCTCCAACAAATAAACAAACACTCCTACTGCATTGTATTAGGAAGCAAGAAAAGTAAAAGCAGAAAACCAGCAATAATGCCATCTCAGTGGTTACTTAGGTGGCTACCAAACCCTTTTTCTCTTCCTCTATTATGCCAGCATGTGCAAATCCAAGATAATGTTCACTGCCCAATTATTTAACAGGTGGGTACTCAATGCCAGAGTAGAGATGAATGGAGATATACTATTTCAAACCAAGTTATACATTTGTCTGCACCAATGGAAACATGATATATCAATTAAAAACGTTTAAATATTCATTATTTTTCTCTTTTTACTTTATTGTTATTGGTATGACACAAGATTTGGGACAATATATCTATGTTAAATTGACATACTTTAATACCAAAATACATGACATAATATCTCAGCAAGTATATTGATTCAATTAGAAAAAATGGCTAGGTTTTGTTTGGCCTAGTATTATCACTCTTTGATGAGAGAGAAAACTTCAATTACTTCAACACTTCAACTTCTAACCCTTCTTGCCTTCAGAGCAGTCCTCTTGGACCACTAGGTTATGAATTATGATTTTCTCACTTCACTTTTCCTTACACATTTTTACACCAATTTGTATGTATTTATCAACATTTTGTTCTAGGAGTATATGTATATGGATCCTTCATAAGCCAACCACGTGAAGATTGGTTCCTCAAAGCAGTTACATATATATTCTACCCTTTCTACGGTCAAATATTTATAATTACAGAGAATAAACATGATTTTCTTCTTTGGAAATCTGCAATGATCATACTGACATATAGAAAAAGGCATTTCCTATTATTGACAACAATAAAACGGAACCATTTCGGTTTATATGTGCAACTTGCATACAAAAAGTGTAATGTAAGGGGGTTTGAATGGACCGTAGATCCCACATGCATGATGAAACTACTGCTCATAAGATAAAGGATCCACCAAATTAAACCACTCGTGTTTCTTTCTTCAGAGGGAAAACTTTAGAAGACGATATTATATTCATCATCTTTGCTCATCATCCATTATTATCCTTATTAATGCCACCACAAAAAAAACATTTTTAACATCTAATTGAAGAGCTCAGTGGTAGAATGTAATTTTCGTCCACTACAAATTACTCTTGCGTGGGAATCATATATATATCCATCAGAAATGGTGTTAAACTCATATAATAGGTTAACTTAATAAAGAGAAAGTTTATAGACAACTTTTGATATAATTCATCAAAGGAATCTCTAAACCAAAATAGTATGATCCCATCATATTGAAAAGCATTAATTCCTCACTTGCAGACAGTTGAACGGGTTTCCTATAAAAATCACATTGTTCTTCAACAACCAAAGTGATCACACTGTTGCTGATAAAAACAATCTCCAGTACATGCTACTCAAGTGAAATTAAAAAGCAGTGGAAAATTTACAATATATTGGATATATGATAAAGTATAAGATAAAACAAGAGGATGAAAAAAATAAAAATGCGTGTGTTAACTTTATTATATCCCAAGGAACTATCATGTTTGATGACCTATTCAACCAAACATAAATGCTAACAAACATAGGATTAAGAGGGTGATGTCTAAACACTAAACCATTGTAAAACACATATTAGATTAATTGAGTACAAATAATTAAACAAGAAGGTGCATATATGCATATATTGTGGTTGTGTTGCAGGTGGACATGAGGGGTATTGCAGTGCACACATGAAATTAGTAAGCTGAGCTGTTAAGCATACATCCACTGGCACATAGGGTAGTGGCTGGATTTTCAATGAATCTAAAGAAAACAAAAATAAGGAAGGGAAGAAAAACCATGAATCAGGAAGAAAAAGGAATGATCACTTATGAAGATGCTTTTTTTTTCTTTCACTCCAAAACCCAACTCGCAAATGGACCATGAAGTAATGATCACTTCTAGTATTCTGCCATTTAACTTTTGTCCCATACTTTGTGTTGGATCACCTTGAAATTAGTGTCTAGCTATGAGCAGAAATCACGACAAACAAATATCCCATACTTTCATAGTACTCAAAATCTAGCAAGATAACAAACTAAACTAACACAACAGAGAGAGAATTTAAGAGCATTATAATACTTACCAGAAATTATCACAATTCTAATTGCACCTGATCTTGCATTTGCTCGTTAGACCAACTTGCTTTAATTCCAGATTATTGGGCTAAGAGGGAAATGTTTGTTACTATAAGATCAACCAATGACAATTTTCTTAGTGGAAAGCAAAGGAGGGAAGGAGTTTATCAACAATAAAAGTGATATTGGCGCGGCTCAATCTGAAATCGTAGTTTACTCCTTCTGTCATGTAAATCCGTCTTCGGATTGAACCTCACCAACATCGCTTTCTCTAATTTCCCCTTATCCCGAACATCATTATCATTAACATTATCTCTTAAACAACAACTTGAAAAGAAAAAAAAATCTTATCAATACTCCTTGGACTGTACTAGACATGACTTGATCATATCCATGTTCATATGAATGAAGGTTGAAATTCATTACAAGTGGTTTTCATTTATGACTAACTATATTCTCTAATAGACCTACCTATATCTAGCTACCAAAAAGAATGAAAAAGATGTTTCAATATTAAAAAATATCCTATATAAGGTCCCATTGTGTCCCTAATAACAATTATTAGGTCCCCATGTTGAAGTAAAGCATGATTCATGATCATAGCTATGAAATACGATCATGGTGGAGCTAGAGGGAGAGGTCGGTCTTATAAGGTTGGTGTTTAGGTATATCACTATAACTAAACCACAAATTAAATTCTCATTATGGGAGTCACTATCAATGCATGACCGGGTGCTGCCATATAAATGCTAGCAAATGAAAACTAATAAAGTGGAAAGCATAAAACCTATGAATAATTTATATTCCAAGCAAAATGAAGTGGGGTTCTCCACATAGTAAATCACGGGGAGATCAAAAACTAGTTTGGTAAGTTGTCGTTATGTCTATAGTTTGAACATTGATGTGAATGACCACTATGATAATGATCAAAACGAAGGGTTCTTTCTTTTCTCGTAGATGGTTTAACTAGGGTTTAGACGCGCCTCAATATATCATACATATATATAACATATATTCATGGCTTCCAAAGAAGGAAAAAGGATAATATATCACAAATATAATAAAATAAATGTTTGAGGGAAACAATAGTGGAGCTTTATGAATAGAAGAAGAGAAGGGTGGAAGATGAGAAGGATAAGTGGGTAGAATGGTGGAGAAGTAGAGAATGTATATAGTGGTAGGTTTTGCCTCGGGATGAGAAGGTTTAGAAGGTGAGTGGAATGATGTATGTTAAGGGGAAACAATACTTACTTTAGGGTTTGTCTTGTCATGCTTAGTTTGTACTCAATAAAATCAAAGCTCTTCTGTCTTTGCGCATGCACCTGAAATATTCTCCACACAAATGAAACAATCCTTTCTTTCAAACATTAATTATTCTTTTTAACTATGACCCTTTTTTAGATCATGCTTGCATTTTCTTTTCTATTTTATAATTAGTCATGCTTGCATTTGATTATATGCTTTTGGTGTAAGACAGAATAAGATAGTTGGCTTATATGTACAATGAAACTGATGTGATTTTCTAATATACATAGTTTAAAGTTGTGATTACATATGTTTTAGGTGGCAATGGGAGTTATAATACATATAGTTCTTTATCAAAATATTATAAAATGTAACTTTAAATTAAAGCTGCTTCAATACTTAATTTTTGGGTACACAACCTTGCATAAATTTGATTTCAGTACCTTTCTTGTTTTTAAACAAATCTGGTTTTATTCTTGCGTTTCTTGTAGGATATTCTTAACTCAAGTATTAAAGTATAGTTTTGGTCAAGGATAGACCCACGTTGGACCAATGGGGGGAGCCTACTGAACTTGTCATTTATTCTAAATAATGTTATTTTAAGGTTAAATTAATTTTTGATGTTGTTTAATTAGGTCCTTTTAACTAAAAACATCATTGAGTAGTAGTAGTAGTAGTTTGGATGTCTTATTTTTTGTCACCGTCTAGCCATTTGTATTTGTGTGTTGCAATTGCTCCATTGTCTAAATTAAAAAATAATCCAGATGTAATATGAGTAGTAGAGAAGTTATTAAGAATGTATGGTAGAAAATAGAAGAGTGTGGTGAAAGTGTGTATTTGAAGGGAAGAGAGAGATATATAGAGATTGAGAATAGAGTGCAGAATGTGTATATAGAAAGAAGTTTGGAATAATGTATATCTAATCTTCCAAGAAATAGAGAAACAATGTAAAGCGCGCGGGAACACCGGCGCCAAAGGGGGCCCTGCCTTGGGCCTCAATCAGGAGACACTTTTCTTGGGTTTTGCTTACCACTTTCTTTCTTTCCATTCTTCCCCCCACTTCCTCTTATTCTTCCTTTTCTAAATCTCCCATTATTTCTCAATCAGGATCATTTTTCGCTAAATTTTTTTATCTTCATGTTCCAAATAAATCATATCTCATCAAATAATATAAAAATATTATTTTTATTTTTATTTTCAAATAGATGATAACTTTCAATTAGATTGTGACACATAAAAAATGGGATAATTGATCTCCATTCATTTCTTTATGCCCCTCTAATGGCCTCTATCAAGGTTTTTGGGAAGTGCAAAATAACTTTTTATTAAAGGAGAATTCCATTCACCAACAAAAAAGGAAGGAGTGTGCTTGGGAGAAAATATTGGAATAGAGTTCCAATCTAGACCTTTCAAAATTTAAATTTTGTAGTGATCTGAACTCAAAATATTGCATGATCTATATTCTAAGCAAGTTGTGTTACGTTTATAATTCAATAAATTATTATGCTGGACAAAGTCTTAAAATACTTATAAATCACTAGATAACCTTATTTAACAAAAAAGTCTCTAAATTTTTTGTTTGGGAGACTTTTTTTAACAAAATCCTTGTGGAGTGACTCATCACTTTAGGTCATAAGATTCTAAGTCTTTTTACATCATTTTTACATTTACCAATTAATTGGTCAAATAATTTTATTAAATATTTGCAATTCAATCAAATAACTTGGTCATAAGATTCTCTCATTTTATAAGACTGGTATATTTTATTTCCTATATTTTCTTTCATTCCCTATCTAATAAAGAAAATTGTCATTCAAGTCCTACGAGTTGTTCGTGAAAAAAAAAACTCTAAATCGGTTCTCCAAAGCATGCAGTATATATTTTCTTCTTACAAAAGGGTTTAAAGAATGGTTTGTATATCTCTCTCTCATGATTTGTAGCGATAGTTCGCGTGCCACATTCTTACCAAACATATTCTCCCACGCCTCAATTCATTTCTTTCATCACCACCAGATCCTAGGACTTTCCATTCCAACTTGTTCCCTTTCTTGGGGTAACTAAAGGCTCATCAGGGATGGTCAAAAGCTACCTATCTTTGGCTCTTTCATTACTTTGTGTACTTAATATTCTGGCCATGGTTGAAGTGGTAAAAAGTGCATGAGAGAAGCATAAATTCTCAATGGTCACAGAGGTCATAATATGCTGCTCTTTTAAGTCTGTCTGATCTGATCAAAAGGACAAGCTAAGGTGGACATTGGATAGGGACACCTTTCTTAAAATAACTTAGATTTCTAAAAGCTTTGCGGGGTTCGTGTTGGCCCTCTTCTAATGAAGAAAGCTAACATGCTTTCAAAGGAATATTTGAATCATCACTTTATATGCTACTTTTTATTTTTTAACTTCGCTACTATTTATTATTATTTTTTCCCTTTTTGTTAGGGCTATTTGGTTGCTCAATAAACTTCTTAGTATGTTATTTCTTCCCTTTTAATTTTTCTCTATATGTACCTAAAACACTAAAATTTACAGTAATATTAATCAGGAGTATTTGAAAGGAGCAAGATCTTGGTTATTGGGATTTTATATATATATATGTGTGTGTTGAAATGAAAATAAGGGAATTAGAGAATCAAACGACAGTATCGAGAAAGATATAAAAAAAACATGCAGTGTAGAATGTGATGTACAAGTATGTTTCAGTTATGCATAACAATCAGGTCAAAGTGAGTTTGTCTGTTTGTGGAGACAATAAAGACACTTCTCTACACGAACTCAAGTTTCTTAACCTTCTGTCTCTCTAGCAGTTATCATGTATGTTTTGTATAGGAATTTGTCTACTTAATTCATGCCTTACCACCTAGAACAACCCCTACAAATCACACCAATATGATTCTGCAGTTACGTTATGAATATTTATTTAATTAGTTGTTGAGAAATGAACAATAGAAGTTGGTATGTGGACCACTGCAATTAGCTACTAGTAGAGTGACAGGTAGAAGGCTTCTAAGATTTGTGTTTTCTATGAACATTTCTAAAAAAGATGGACAACCTTTCATTTATGTGAATATATATAGCTGATAAAAAGATATATAAACCTGATTAATATATCAAATTTTACAAGGGGGTTGAGGAGAGGAAGGAAGGAATGGGAAATAACCTTAGGATTTCCAAAGCATGTATAAAAGAAGTCTTGTCTTCAAAATAATTGATAATATCAAGTGTATATAAGTGGTAAGACAACTAAATTTAGGTTAAGTGGTGTAAAGTATTGGTATCATGGTGTAAACATATAACTATATGAGGTTTTATTGGACTTTAATATAGCCCGGTCAAAAGGTTAAATAACACACCTAAAAAGGGATAATCACAAAATAATTAAAATAAATGAAAGCAATAAATCAATCTTAAAATAAATGAAATCAATTAAAATTTCTGAAAAAACAATGTTAAATATAGTAATTAAAACATAAAAAGATATAATGCTCCTACTGTCCTACAATTTCTCACTTAATGAGTTAACTGATTTCACTCTTGAAGAAAACTAAAAAAATTCTCCTACAATTTCTCACTTACATCTAAAAAATTCTGAGACTCCTATTTGTTATTTTCACACCATGGGTTAGGCCACAAGTGAGGAAGTAAATGATGGGCTTGGGTCAAAAAAACATATGCCAGGGAGATGATAGAGAAGTATGGTCAAAATGAGTTAGAGGCCACAAGTTGGGAAGTATATGAGAGTTGGGAGGGTCCAAATTCATGTCCAACATGTGTCAACAACGATATATGCTTATAAAGCATTTGCCTACTAGTGTAAGACTATTTTAGATCTTCAAAAATATTAAAATGTCAATCATTCAATTCATTGGAGCAACAATTGTTGAAGGTGATAATCATGTATCCAAAAAGAATTAGTTCTTAATTCATAATGTAAAGGGATATTATTGACAATACAAAAAATATTATATATGAACTTTTAGATTTTCTACTTTGGAACAAGATACTCTCCATTATTGGAGATATAAATTCTCTTTTTCTTTTAGTCGGAATGATAAAAGTGTAATCTTCCAATAAATATAAATTATACAAATGCTATTACAGTAATTTTTCTTTCATTTTTAAAAGTAATTCTCTCACTTTCAATTCAGTTTTAGATTTTGATGTGAAGTTCAATGATTAATGGTAGAGTAGGGTACTCTTTTTAAAATTGGTTTTGAGGCCAATCTATGTTAAGGGCATTAGGCTGAACAACATTTTCTTTTGTGATTACAAACTTGCAGTGAGAAAATTGTTTGGAGGAACTCGCTTGAAGAGTACATCCTATCTATTTTCTTGGCTAGAAAACAAATATACATGGACAAGGAAACAGTATAGTTACAGAATCTCAGTAGTATCCTAGAAGCAACAAATCTTCAAACATTTGTAAACCCTCTAAAACTTCCAGAGAAAACTCCTTTTTTGTCAGCATAAACAGCTCTAGAACAAGAATAAGGATAATTCACATTCATTAAAAACAAGGGAAACTAATGAAGTCAACTGTACTGAGATACTGGATATAATCCAACATCTATAGCTTCAGAAATCGCATATTTTGATACAACTAGTGACTATTAATTAAATTCATATTTTGATACAAAATTTTGCTCCCTGATATCTCTCAACTCATACAAATCCCATATTCTAATATTGAATTGGTACATCATTATTGTATCTTTAGTATCAATATTTAATCATGACTAACTTTTACATACAAATAATATTCCTTGACTTTTAGATTTAAATAATTGATAGACATATATTGATTATGTATAAATTTTTATAATTAAATTGAAATGTAAGAAGGTAATCTATTTTAAAATGTATAATTATATGTCCCA